AAAAATATTAAAACCTTAACCAAAATTAATATACACACACACACACACACATGCATATATATATCAGTTTTCATTTTAATTAAAACTAATCCAAAATGTTGTAAACATGCTAAAATAACACAATGGCAGCTGATAAAAATCCTTCATACTTATGATCAATTAATTAAGTGTGATAAACTATCACACAAATAGACTTTTAGACATTTTAGACACACAAAGCGAGCGTTTTGTCTATGCTGGTATGGTAATGATCAGCCTAACCTAGCGCTAGTTATCTCTGCACATTCAAATGAGATAAGAGAAAGTATTTTAACATAACATTTATATTTTAAGTATACCTACAAAGACTGTGTGCCTATTTGTGTAGCTAAATGAATGATTATTATATCAGATCACTTTAAAGAATCCACACCAAGACTGTAAGTGTTTCAATAGATCATTTGTATCTTTTATCGTTGTGTTTACACTCAGAAATGACCTTTTAGAGTGAGGTCTAATTGGATAAAGTACATTTTAGTGCTTAATGTACAAGAAGAGAGAACTGTTTGCAGAATAAGGCTGACACAGGGCAATCCACTTCAGAGGCCCTCAGAGATATTTAACTGCACCATTATCTCATATTGTACCCAGGGTTTAGAAGATGGTAGCATTACCTTTACCAGGGCAAACCACAGTGAATGAAATGAGCTGTATCATTGAAAAATGCGACAACACATTACCCAGCAGCACACATTTGTTTGCATGAAAAAAATCTGCTGAGCCAAGATGGAGAAGGAGGTGTCAAAAACAGCTAGACATCAGGCAGTAGGAGAAACTTCAGCTCAAAAGTATACAGTACTTGTGTTAAAGCAATAGTTAATTCAGAAATGAATAATTTGCTCAGCCTAATTTCGTTCCAAACCCTTATAAATTTGTTTTGCTGACACAAAAGGAGAAATATTGAATCACTGTTTTACATAAAAATACAGTGAATGGAGGCTGGAGCTTTTAGGCTTCTAAAAAGACTCAAAATTACCATAAAAATATCTTAAAAGTAGTTCATATAACTTGTGTGCAATATTCTAAGTCATATGATGGCTTAATAATAGCAAAATCCTCAACTTCATTCCTTTGTAAAGATTGAAACCAAATCAAATGCAGTTAAATTCAAGAACCAGATCAGTCTGATTCTCTTACAAATCCTTTTGATTTTAGAAATGGGATCAAATGATTCACTGCAAAAGATTGATTCGTTCTTGAATCAGATGTTTCTACAGTAGTTCTCTCAAAAGGTTCTCTCAAGAGAGGTGGATGTCAAGGACTGTTCCTCACACAAAGCTGTCATACAAGTTTAGAAGACTTTTATGATCATTTTATATAACTTTTTTGGAGCTTGATAGTCTCATTCATTGTCATTATTATGGCAACCCATTATCATATCATATTTAAATCATACTGTATATCACAAAGACATAAATCACTTTTAAAATTGACTGTTTCTTGAATTTAATATTTATTAATGTCTTGTGTAAAATAATATAATAATAAATTATTTTTAATTGAAAAATAAATAATTAATGTTTTAAAATGAAGATAAGTATATCAATAAAATAAAAATAGGAGGGGGAAAAACATTTGCCAGTTGCTTTTCATTATCCATTTGTCAATCAAGTTATTAAAATAACACTGGACAGTTCACTTGTAGAGACCACCAATCAGCTTTCGGCTCTGTTTGAAGACCCACCCCCTCTCCCATGTGCCAAAGTAGATGTACTATCATTGGACAGAAAGACATATAATTTCTTCATTAAAATGGGAGCTTTGAGTGTATTTGTAGATGTAGAGTGGTATGACGGTGAGTAAATGATACCAGAATTATAGTTAATGGGAGAATTAGACTTTTAAATACAGATATTTTGTTGCGTTATAACCTTTTCTGGTACAGAACATCCCTCTGGTGACATTTAGTTGCTTATTTATCTTTTTTACCCAGGCTTCCATCAGGGCACGTTTGACTTTTTAGTACTTGAGGATGAAGACTAAGGCAATTCATTCTGCAGACTAAGCCAATCTTCCTGAAGAGAGCTGGCAGGAAGTGAAGCGCCAGTCGGTTCGGTCTTCCAATCAGCACAAAAGTTGTGGCAGATATTTCTTCACCATAGACCTTAGTCAGGGTAGCACAATATTTAATTTTTGACAGGAATAAAAATGAGGCTGTGAGGGATAGAAGTACAGTGCGTTCAATGGATGTGTATTGCAGTTTAACAACATGCCAATAGTTCAGCTAACAAAACTTTACAAAAAAAAAAGAAAAAAAAACTTCAGTTGGCAAAAACTCCATAAGCCTAGAAAAGCACTATATAAATGTAATGAATTATTATTATTATTATTAAAGCAGTTTTGAAAGTTGTGAGTTTTGTAATTGATGTGATCTAATTACTTTATACTGTATGTGCCATTGTAAAGATTATAAGTCTATGTTTTCATTTGCATACAGTTCACTATGGCATCTGGCCTAACTACAGTCTGTCCCAGCTAACAGAGAACATTCTCAGAACTTTGGAAAGAACATTCTGGAAAGGTTCTTTCAAAGTTACGAACAAACATTCTTCTAGTTAACTTTAGTAGAATTTTTTGTTCGTTCAAAGTTCTTCATTTGTGGAACGTTTTTCTGAAACATTTCAGTTGTTATTTTGGTTTGTCTAACGTTTTTTAAACGTTTCTACTTACTGGTTTCAGACATTAACATAATGTTTGCTAAGTTATACAATGGAATGCTCCCTTAAAGTTTTCTCTAACATTAAAATAACCAAGAAAAAAAAAATAATTTTAAACAAAGAACATTTTCATGGTCGACTTATTATTTCAACTTAATGGGAACATTAACAATGTTAGCACATTATTGTAAGCCTGGATTATACATTTGCCTCGCAGATCTGAGTGTTGTAGCACCTACAAGACAACTCGTCACGTTGCATTGGTCAAGTGGTTGCTTTTGCCTGAACTTCTGACTTACTTCCACTACCTTCAAAGTGCATTGAAGAGGCTTTGGGGTGAATTATGTGAGCATGTGTGAAGGGAAGAGTGGAGGAAGGTAAACAATGTGGAAATGGTGGTTTAAGGAGGCATAATCTGATTTCCAGAACGTCAGGCAGAGGCACGCTGTCGTGTCAGATGAGGCTAGTCATCTTTATTAACAAGGGAACAAAGTTGGCAGGCTTGGCCGCAGCCACCACTGAGCGTGACAAAATATCCAGCGATTGTCCTACACAACCATTTATCTTGATCTGAGTCCAGCTAATGCCTAGCTCAGTTATTATTTGGAATCTCTTTCTAATCAATACAGATTCTTTATAGGTTGTATCAATCATGTGTTTGTACATCCTGACATTTGCTCATTTGCTACTGTAAATACACCGTGGAGGTTTATGAGATAACTGAGGCATTAGACGTGACTGAAAATGTCTGACTAGCTGCTTTTGGAGATTTATAAATCTAAAATGTGTTGATTGCTTGTTTTATTTAGATCCAAAGAGGTCAGGGAGGGGTAAACTCTCAATGTTCATAAACTCTCAAACCTGGTTGACTCAGGATCAAAAGAATGTATATTTATAATTTTTAAGGGATAGTTTGACCAAAAATAAAAATTATGAAATTCTGTCATTATTTACTGACCCTCATGTCATTCCAAAACTGACTTTTATTCTGAGAGACATAAAAGAAGATATTTTTAAGAATGTTCCTAACAGTTTCAGTTCTCATTGACTTTCATTGTATCGAGAGAAAAGGAGCTAAAAACAACAAAAAAGGAACCAAATCTGTTTGGTTACCAACATTCTTCAAAATATCTTCTTTTGCATTATGAATAAAAATAGAAAGTCATACAGGTTTGGAACAACATGAGGATGAGTAAATGATGACAGAATTTTTATTTTTTTAATTAAAATAGAAATTTTGCTAAAAATGTACTCACCCTTATGCCATCCAAGATGTAGATGAGTTTGTTTCTTCATCAGAACAGATTAGAAGAAGTTCAGCATCCCATCACTTGCTCACCAGTGGATCCTCTGCAGTGAATGGGTGCCGTCAGAATGAGAGTCCAAATAGCTGATAAAAACATCACAATAATCCACAAGTAATCCACACCAAACACCAATCCATCAATTTACTTGTCTTATGAAGTGAAAAGCTATGTGTTTGCAAGAAACAAATCCATCATGAAGGCATTTTATCTTTAAACCATAATTTCTGGCCAAAATGTGAGTCCATAATAATAACACTTCCTTCAGTGAAAAAGTTCACCCCGCTCTCCTCTCACATCACAATCCACCGACATATTTGTTTAGAACTGTGGACACTTTTCACTTGTAAAAGGTGCTTGATCTGTACATATTTCACATCTGATTCAGACGAAACAAGCAATATTACGGATAGAGGACTTGGAAGTAATGGGTTGAAGTTAAAAACATCTTAATGGTGGATTTGTTTATTACAAAGCAGCTTTTCACTTAACATGACGTTAATTAATATACTTTAGTTGTGTGGATAACTTGTGGATTATTTTGTTGTTTTTATTAGTGGTTTGAACTCTCATTCTGACGGCACCAATTCACTGCAGAGGATCCATCAGTGGGTAGATTATGTAATACTAAATTTATCCAAATCCGTTCAGATGCAGTAACCAATTAATCCACATCTTGGATAGCCTGAATGTAAGTACAATTTCAGCTAATTTTCATGTTTGGGTGAACTATTCCTTTAAGTAATTATCAAGCATGTAATGTGTTAAAAGAGTAACACATAATAAAACATTAAATGCAAGGTTTTTACACCATCGGTTGAGTTCGAGAACCAGATGAATCTTGTTTGTGAATGACTCATTCTGTTTTAGGATCATTACACATGTTTTCTTGCATTCTCTCAAATATCATTCAGTGGGCACAGCAAGTCTGAACCCTGATGATCCTATGTTGAAGTCTAATGATGAAGAGTTGCTAATAAATGTATTCTGTCCTTTCCAGAAGTCATGCCAGTCCCAGAACAGCCTGCCGAAGCAGAGAATGCCACCATGCTCAGTCCAGGACTGAATGCTTCTAATGATGATGGATCTGAGACTGAGACCACCTCTGCCATTCTGGCCTCTGTGAAAGAGCAGGTAGGACTTTTAATGTCCACTGTCCCACTTCATTCATATCTTAGGCACACAGCCAAAATGTTTTTTAGTGGAAAGGTTGAATTCTTTGCGGTTCTGTCCATGATTTATCGGGAGACAGCGGTTATCTGTACACATTTGTCATATTAACTCTAGTGCTGGACCTTTTCTGTACACTTTCTGGGAGACAAAGATTAAAAGGGGAATGATACAGTGGGTATAGAAAAGAATCACCCCCCCTTTAAAATAATCACATTTTGTTGCTTTGCAGTCTGAAATGAAGACGGACACAGTTTTTGTTTTATCCAGCTGTAATTACTCAGTGCAACTTATAGCATCCAAGTGAAAGATATAACACCAACATGTCAGAAAAAAATAAAAAAACAGAATCACTGAGTTGGAAAAAGGATCACCCCCCTCCTAAAAATGACTTGTAAAATCAGGTATAGTTTATCACCTAATGGCTCACAAAGCCATTTGACTTTCAACTGTGATCAGCTGTGCTCAATTTGATTAGAGAAGTGGAAGGTATTTGGTACAACACACACCCTCCCTGGATCAGGACGTCACTCCAAACTGGATGAAAGAGTCAGGAGGAAACTGAGGCTAACAAGAGGCCTACAGCAGCTGGATAAAACAAAAACTGTGTCTGTCTTCATTTCAGACTGCAAAGCAACAAAATGTGATTATTTTAAAGGGGTGATTCTTTTCTATACCCACTGTAGATGCAAGAAAGGCCATTTTGTACGACACTGAGTGCTTGTCAAAAAGCAAATGGGTGGAATTAACTATAAAGCTATCCACAGATGTATACTAGAATTTAACATGATGTAATAATATAAATGCAAAGGCTCAAAGTACATTTTTACCTGATATCTTTTCCCCCCTCTCAATTCTTGGCTTTAACAACCTTATATATACTACAGTTTTTTTTAAGGCTCTTATGCTCACCAAGGCTTGTTCAAAAACACAGTAAAACAGTAATATTATGAAATATGATTACAATTTAAAATAACTGTTTTCCAATTTAATATATTTTAAAATATTATTTATTCCTGTGATGGCAAAGTTTAATTTTCAGTAGTCATTACTCCAGTCTTCAGTGTCACATGATCTTTCAGAAATCATTCCTATATGCTGATTTAGTGCTCAAGAAACATTACTATCAATGTTGAAAACAGTTGTGCTGCTTAATATTTTTGTAGAAACTGTGATACTTTTCAGATTCTGTGATGAATATAAAATAATAATAATAATAAAAACTCTTGAATAGAAATCTTTTATAACATTATAAATGTCTTTACTGTCAATTTTAAACAAATTAATG